CCAGGCATAACCTTTGTGTATCTGTGAAAGTTATGATAAACCATATCACATAACTAGAAGTTAATTAACTTATCTCAGGAAATGGAAAGTGGGTTTGCGTAAAAGTGCTCCAAACTGCCCATCTTTTATGAAGTGAATTATTTCACCTACTAAAATTGATTGACTCAGAAAGAGATTAGCAAGTATATTGGTAAGAATTGCAGCAGTAATCACCAAAAAGAATTAAAACTACAAAGGTCAAGTGGTTAGTACTTAGGCTGAAACTAGCGATGAATAGAAAGGGGAACTTTTTAAAATTTATACCCTTCTTAGGAGTTTTTATTTTTTTAGCACATATGTATGTGTTGCTTTTATAAATAAATAACAAATATTTTAAAATAAACTAAGATCATAAAAAAGAAACTCCTACATTTATGAAACTATCATTATGATAATATAAAAACTAAGAAGAAAATGATAAACTTTCGATTTTATGAACTTATAACTAGTGATACAAATAAACGTTAATAAAACAGACTTGGTAGTTGAGTAAAAGATTGATGTGACTCACCCAAAGACAGTTTATTCCCAGAATACAAGTGTATCTCAACATCAGAAGATCAGTTCATACAACTGCACATATTAACAGATCAATTCAGAAAAAAGCCACAATCATCTGAATAGATAGACGGAAAGTTCAACATTCCTTCCTGATTAATAAGACCTATAGTAAAATATAAATACAAGTATTTATAAAAGTAGATAAAAGTAGTTAACACATGTCTGACAAAATTTAACTCCTTAATATATAAAGTGCTTTTATAAAGCAACAAAAGGATACAAGCAATAGAAACATAACAGAAGGAGGAAAAATCACAAAGCAATCATCCCCCAAACATTGAAAAAAATTTCAACTTTGTCAGTATTTTAAGCAAATGTAAGTGTAGTTTACAAAATAAACAGGTTAAGCTAATATAATGGCAATGATTAAAATGCTAATACTCAGTATTGGTGAGGTTGAGCTAAATGGGCTCGCTTTTCTGGCTGGAAGATGTGGACATTCATAAAATAATTCAGGAAGTCAGTTTTTCAGTATTTTAAAAACATTAAAAGTGCATATACCCTTTGATCTAGAAATTCCACTTTCAGGAGTTATATCTAGAAATACCATAGCACAGATGCTCACAAAATTTAGCAACAGGGTTAATTATCAAAATATTACATTTTATAATGGAAAAACAGAACTATATCAAATGTATAACAATAGATTAATAGTTACAAAAATTATGATTAGAATACTATTCAACCATCAAAATTAGTGTTCAACATGGATACTTATTCGTACATAAGATGTTTAAGATGAATTAAGTGATATAAGCAAAGCTTGAAACAATGTAACAGTATGATCTTATTTTGATTTAAAATTATCCATCCATCTATATATTAATCATCTATGTATTTATCTACCTACCTACCTATCCGAAAACGGTGGGAAGAAGATCATAGTATTAATGTTAATTACCATCAATTGGCATTCTAAAACTTTTTATTATTTATTATTATTGTACATTATAGATTATTTTTTTATCTTCTCAAAAAATATAGTACTGCTTTTGCAAGAAACAAGCAAGTGTTATTTTAAGGGAAAAGAAAGTATACATTTTCTCTCTTTGTGTAAAGTATGCAAAAGGCTTAATATGAGGTTTTTTTTTTTTAATAAAATGAATTTTAAAATTCAAATAGAATATGAGCACAATAGAAGAATGGGCTGTAGACAATTAACCAAAGTAAAAACTATCAATGACCTAGGAACAAGAAAATT